CACGAGACTTGTTACGGGGAAGGATGAAAGGCAGAGAAAGGGAGGGATCAAGGTGGACTGGGGGGGAGCCACTGTGAGAAAACAGAGGCAAAAGGGGATAAAAGGGGCTGGTCCCGGCAATGCTGGCTGGGGCGGGGGCTGCCCTGCACCCCATCACCACAGCCCATCCTGCAGTCTTACTAAATATTCTTATATAATAAGAATTATAATACTTAAGATATATGTAATACTTTTAAGTCTGCTCTAGCTGATAGGGCATCATCAAAAGATGTGGACAGCTTCCACTGGCAGAGTTCACAACAATCAACAGCAGTAGAAGAGACAAAAAAAACAAAGAAACTACTGTATCTATAAAGCCTGAGAAGATGAATAGGAAGGTAGACAAGACAGCTCTGAATGCATACTGACTAGCATCCATAAACTGAGATTTCCTAAAGTCAAACTTGGAGCTTACACAACTTGTACACTTCTAGTAGGTATCATTTATCTCTAACAGACTGCTGAACAGAAATCTCCCAACACAGGGACCAAGCAAAATGGTCCTCAGATGTTCCTGACAACTCGTGATAACGATTCCACAGGCAGCCTCACACGAGGAGCTACTGAGCTGTCAGATCAGCTTTACACACACTTGAAGTGCCCAGTCTTCTGCAGGCTCTGCATATTTTGGAAAACTAAATTATTTTTTTCCTGAATGTTTACACCTGTTCAAAGCACTTAGATCACAATGATACTCTTTTCAGCCTAGCTCTCTCTAGTAAAAACAAGAAAAGCAATTCAATGCATGAATTTGATCTCCAGATAAAAGGCAATAACACCCATATTAAAACTCATTTTTGACATATTTCAAGACAAAGCTCTTGCAAGGTAGATTTCAAACCTTCACTGTGTTCTAGCAGAGCAATTAAACAACTGCCAAACATTACTTATAAATTTTAAAGGCGAATTATTTTTATGCTGAGAAGCACACACTTTAAGCCAGTACATTTCTGGGAGGGGGGGGAAAACTCCTATAAGAAATCACCATAAAAATATTTTTTTGACTTCACAAAATGGAATTTATGACATATTTCCAAATTCAGTTGACAATTTTGAAATATTTTATGTGTCACATGCAATATTGCATATTGGGCTAATTCCCAGTCTTACTATTTTGCATGCTAAAGGATCAGAACTCAGTGATGTACACAGGTTCAGTTTAATTTCAACCACAAGACTGTTCACACAGAAAAACAGTATGCCTACAGGAGGGAAAACTCTCTCACTAAGATCAAAAAAGAATTAAAGCAATACATTATGTGCAACTAAAGGGATAGAATTTAATAGGTTTGTGACACATGAAATGGGTTATTGCAGCTATGTGAAATTGTTCTCAATAATTAAGGCTGCTTTAAGTATTTCAGTCATCAACTTCTTTTTAAGTTTAGATGACCTAGTAAGAACTGATGTATTCATCACAAAGGAGCCAAATAGTGTTCTGCTCTTCTACCTTAAACTCCTCTAAATAAATTTTTTAAATCATTACATGCATCAGCCTAGGTCTTTTAAAGATGTCCAAGAAGGAAAAAAAGCGACAACAGTATTAAAAGAGCAAGGGACAGGAATGTTAGGAAAGGTCATGTCATAAAGCTTCCTGTATTATTTCTCTGTCCTACAAACTTCCAGAAGCACAAGAATGATTTGTTGTAGCATCCCTAAATTTCAAAGATATTGGTTTATTTTCAAATAAAGTCTGAATGGCAGGAGTAAGAAGGGCTGGTTTTAGAGTTAGATCTTCTGATAGATCTATTCCATATCTACACGTACCAGTGGAAAACAACACCAGCTTCTACTTTCCCTGTTGGATATTATTACCTCCTCCAATATGCTGGGAAATCTGTACTAGTGCACTTTCTCTAATCTGCACTGGGCGAGAGCAGCCAGCTCATTTCAAATACTTCAAATGGTATTCTCATCTAACTTGACTAATTCGACCTAATCATAATTTGACTAGAAAAGGTTTACACAAATACCCCCAACACATCGGTTAGGCTGTTAACACTCTTCAGGAGTACAAGGGGATGGAGAAGACAATGTCCATCAACAGCCTTACAGTTAGGCAACAAAGCCTCTGGGGATCAACAGATAACAGATCACCTAGGAACACATAACACAGAAGACGGTCCCAAGATTTGGACACATTGAAAATAAATTTCACATTTTCCATCTATGCTGCCACACCTTTGCCATCACTTCTCAATAAATGACCGGAAAAAAAAAAAAAAAAAAAAAAAAAAAACCACACCCCACACCTAAAGTATCTTGGTTATCTCTTCATTATTTTGTTTTGTTCATCCATTGCAGTCATTCTCACACTGGAAAGTATAGGCAATACACTCCAAGACAGAGGGCAAGGTGGATATTCTGGCATCCGACAGCCATGCTACCCTTATTCCATGCCACATGCAAGATGACAAAAGCACATGAAAACCTAACCCACCTACAGCCTGCTTGCTAGAGACCCCAGCCAGTGCTACTCACAGAGAGGACCTCACCAATTCCCTAGTCCCAAATCCCTATCTTCCTTACACAGAACTCACTGGAGACCCCTGAAGATCCAAGCACATGGCACTTCCACACAATCCCCACCACCACTATGACCACGTCCAGGGTAACAGGGAAGAAACTCAAGAGACCAAGTGGAAAAACCTTGTCAGGGACCAGAAAAAGAGATACGAAGGACTGAAGATAGGAAGCTAGGTGGACATCCACCTGTATGTTCACAGGCAGGAGACTCCTGGAGCTAGAGGACAGCAAAACCCCAGAAGAGTTGAGACCAGGAATCCCCAGAACAATCCTAATATAAGCATATATTTACCGTGTCTTCATTCAGATGGATACATGCCTGACCCCTACCAGCCTCTCTTCTTCAACCTCCTCAAATACACACAAACACATGCTGCCTCAGGTTCCATGGAGACATAGAATTATCAACCATGTCCCAGAAATAGACGCATGTGCAGACACGCACATTGGTGACACAGAAGCATCTGTATATATTCATA